TTGGAGAGGGGAATGAAACAGTCTTTATAAGGATGTGAAAACCTCTTCCTAGTAAATGCGTTTTAAAAATCTTGAAGGGAAGCCTGAAAGGGAAATACCCAAAGAGAACAATATCTGCTAGCGGTGGGCTTGGGTTGTTACATAGTTTTTGTTTTTTAAAATTTTGCTTGTTTTCTCATCCTTTATCTATAATAGGTTTGTTCTTCGTTGAGAAAACATTTGAATTCTAACCCAAATTTAAAAAATAAAACAAATTATTGCTTGATTTTTGAAAATATATGTAAAAAGTAGATAACAAAACACAGAAACCCATAGGTGGAAGTAGTATTTATTGGCTCACATAGCCTTGGTTTTCAATTTTTTCTATTAGTGCACCTTTGAAGGAAGCTGGTAGTCTATTCATGTTTCTCCTTGCTTAGAACTGTAAAGAGCTCAGCTTGTTCCCATAAAATTACCTGTTGGGTTACTCGACTGCAGAGACCTTACAAGCATTGTTCATGATTTGGTTGCTTTCTTACATAGAATTGTGGGAGTGGCTCTCTCTGGAACTCCATTAACTGCAATAAGTTTAGTTTTCAATTTTCCTTTGGACATATTTTGATGCCATGAAATTCCTACAGATGATGATCTTCATAGAGGCATCAACAGTTATCGTGCATCGTTGAACTTGACAGCGCTGGTCGAGAACGACAATGCAGAGTGCCTTGCTGAAAAAATTGCTGACAAATTCAAGAATCAACCTTGTACAAACACCACAGGTTCCAACATGATATCTGGAACTGAACCTCAGTTCGATGACTATCCAAACCTGCTAGCCAAGTGCAATTTGAATATCTCCAACACAAGGGATGGAACCATAATGCCTGCTTGTGTTCCAAACCGTGTTCCCGATCTTGTTCTCACTAACTTTACGAAATCTCAGTACTCGGGAAAACTTAACGATACCAAGTACACAGGAATTGGCATTGGTACCGAAGATGACTGGGTTGTCGTTGTTCTTACCACGAGCACAGCAGACGGAAGTTTTGTGCCAGCATCAAAAAACACAGCCACTCTGGTCTCCAAGATTGGTATGTTCTCTCAGTTGCTGTTCTTGATGCTGTCTTTTGTCTTATTGCTGTAGACCATGAGAGGATTTTCTTGTCTTGTCTTGCTTGGATCAATACTTCAAATCATTTGATCTTTCTTTCTATATTTTATACGTTTGAACTAATTTTTCTTCTCATTTATGAAAATAGAAAGAACTTTGGGACCCCCTCATCTCTAACACTTCTTTTAAGGAGAGACAAAATGCTCTAGGGTACTCGAACGGATTAGTTGAGTCTCTATAGCCGACCACAATCCCGTGATTTGAGAAATTCGATGGAAAATATTCTATCAATTAGGCGTTGCAACTGCAACTGTATCTTGGACGCATCTTGCACATTGTCTTTGAAAAGGGTGATCCATATCCTATCTAATGTACAAAATAAGTAAAGAAGTTGAATCGAGCCAAACTTATCAAACTTTGAGCTTGGGATGGACTCGACTATCCAAATATGTTCCAATTGAGTTCATCTATGGGATAGTCCCATCTCAAAAAAGGAAAGTCGATCCAAATATGTTTTAAACAAGTTGGCTTGTGAGCTAGCTCAATGAAAAGATTATCCATTATATCCGATGAATGAACGGGTGAACTAAACCAAGCTTCGACCGACCTCTAGTCCATGAGCCCTATACGAGGGTCGGATTGGATGATAGAAAAGGTAACTATGGTTGGTACGACTGTGAGAGCACATCCATGTTCTCACTTCATTGTGAAGAAAACTAAAAACCAATGCTTTAAAATTTCCCTTTGAATGGGCCCTCTAATCCCTTTAACAAGATCCTCACGACCCACCTTTTGAATTTTTGTCTCACACGTCACTATTCAAACAACAAAACCAATTACTAGCTCAAAAGTTATTATTTGATCGAGTCGGGTTAAGTTTATTATTAACAAACGTGGTTTGCGTGGTAAACCCGACCAGAATGCCCCTAATTTTTTTTAGTAGTAGATAATGTTTTTAAATTTTAAAGCTAGAAAAAAAAAAAAAAAAACATATATAATAAATAATATATTTTGGTGCTATTTAATTCTAAAAGTTTTCAAACCCTTCTTTTTTGTGCTTTAGAAAGGTCTATTTTATGTCAACATTCACCATTCATCAAAATATATATATTTCCAATTTGGGACAAACAAACAACAATAATTGTAATATTTTATAAGTACAAAATTATAATTTATTTGATATTAATAAGGTTTTTTTTTTTTTTTTTTTTTTTTTTTTTTTTTTTTTTTTGAAATTTNAAGCTTAGTTGTTAAGTTTCTAGATTTGTGTTTATTTGATACTTAAAATTTTAAAAAGTATTTAATTAATCCATAAAATTTCATATTCATCTCTTTACACTTTCAATTTTATTTTTAATATATCACTTAATTTTATATTTAACTAATTAATTAATTTTTTAAAGAAGTTAAATTCAAAAATTTATTAGAAATGTTTTAAATAATTGTTTCTTTCTATTATTATTATTATTATTATTAAAATAACCTAGTAATTTTAAACTTAATTATTACAAGTTTGATGGGTAGCCGTTTAAGTCCACTGAAGCTCACTGCTAGCAAATATTGTCCGCTTTGGTCCATTACGTATCTTCTTCAACCTCATAGTTTTAAAACGTATCTACCAAGGAAAGATTTTTACACCTTTAAAGAATGTTTCATTCCTCTCTCCAACCAATTTGAGATCTCACATGATAACTAGAATAAGGTTCGAGGAACAAGACTACTTAACTCTAACGCTCTGAGAGTTGCTCAATAGAGTTTATACCCAATGATCAATCATTTGTGAGAGTCACGTGAGTCTCATATCTGGAAAAAAATAAAAAAATAAAAATACCCCATCATAACGAACATCCCCTTATGATTTTCGCTATTACTGTTTCGTCCCCAAACAACTCGATCTTCTGCACCTGCAATTCTTAAAAGAAAAACGTGTTCAAATTAACTTATTCATTAGTGTATTATATTTCAATTCAATCATTAGTTTTTATTCTCAAGAGCAAAATATCCAAATAGTATGGGCAGCCATTATCAAATAAATAAATAAATAACACGTGGAGGTTGGAGTATGGATGGAAACAAATAATTGAAAAGATTTTTTAAAAATAATAAATTAGAAAATTTCAAAAATAAAACAATCCCTTTTCCTCTAAAGTTTTTTTTCTCATTACATCACCAACTTTGTCTTCCACTTTCACATCATCAACATTTTCTCTTTATTTTTATGGTACTATCATCGCTCATATCTCGGCATATAATCAATATATGAAAATAACATATAGTACAAGAGATTTGTAAGATGTCACGATCGTCATTTAATCAGTTTATTCCGCTACATCGGTCGGGAGTAAATACAAGAAGAAGAAGGAAAAAACATCAATTTTTCAGCTTATTCCGCTACTTCTGTTATCAACAAGTTCTTGATGAATAATTACAAAAAAGAAAAAAAAAGTCTTCCAGTCGTATCTTTAATGATCTCGAGAAGGATGAGGGGTATCGAGTAATATATTAAAAAAACCATAAATTTTTGGAATTTTCTCTCAAACCCAATATTTGTTTTTTATTATTTATTTATTAAAAAAAAAAAAAAAAAAAAAAAAAAAAAAAAAAAAAAAAAAAAAAANNNNAAAAAAAAAAAAAAAAAAAAAAAAAAAAAAAAAAAAGGAGTTGGCTGGCAGATATGCATCACCCTATCTCTTACAAATGTGAATGAATGGATGCCGTAATTCCACGATTTAAACATTCCTTCTAATTTTCTCTACCATTTACCTATTTTTTAATTATAAAAAAAATCATTATTTTAAGATTTTTTTATAAAAAATATATTTTTAAATTATTGGTCGAAACATATTAATACAATACAATGTCAGAGTAAACGTATTATCCAACGTGAAAGAATTGTGTAAGATTAGAGAGGACAGTTACTGAACGAGTTAAACAAAATATGGTTTCGCAAAATAATCAAGAAAGTTCATACAAGTGCAACACACACAAACACCACCCGACTCAGCTGGACCAGAAAGTACCTTTTGAACCTTATTCACTGGCCTTATAAGACCTCCAGCCTAGTCTCAGAGTTCTCGAACGATCCAATTTGGCCCAAAAAATGGGAATCTCGAATGCACCCTGAGGTTAAAAAATCTATAGGCCGATTTTTTTTTTAATTTTAATAATATGTACCGGTGAACGGAAAATAATCAAACATTTAACTTCGTGGATTATAATTTTAATTATAATAAATTTTGTCTTTTTTTTTTTTTTTAAGGTACTGTTTGAATCCTAGTATTTATCTTCAAAATTACAAAAGAAGAACGAATTTTGATTTGACATTAGATTTCCTTTCATCTCAATAGTCAATAGCTTATGTGAGGTTGACTTTTTTTTTTAATTATTATTAAAAAATACGTGGAAAATTATAATTTTCTTATTTTAAATCAAGTAAAAACAAAATTACATTTACAACAAAAATATAAATTTACCTTCTTTTTCATACTTAAAAATACAAATAAAAAACACGAACTATAATACGTAAATTATAGCCAATTCGAGCGTAAATCAATAAATAAAATATTAATTTATTATATAAAAAAAAAATTGAAATAAAAAATATGTTATTATAATATTGCCACTTGTAGTAAAAAAATAGGTCTAAGTTTCCTTTTCATTATCTACTCATTCTCTGAAAATAGACAAAAAGAAAAACATCATAATAAATTATAAATGAAATTATATATAAAGTATTTTACATAATTATTATTAAATAAATAAGAAATAATATTGTTATTTTGAATTAATTTAAAAAACAAACCATAGAAATTAGTGTTATTTTTGTTGATGATAATAATTTTTTTTTTCGATGAGGGCAAATTCGTAAAAATTAATTTAATATAATTATTAATCGTTATAAATTTTTTAAAAATGATTTAAAAAGATAATAGATATTTTATTCACATAACTGTGTCGAAGACATAAAAGCAATTAAATTTGCTCCAAGATTAGTTTCCCATGGTCGTTTCCGGTCTCCATTTCATCGCCGACCTCCTTGTCGCCGCCGTCAGCCTCTTCACTTTCCTCTGTTTGCGCAAAACAGAGCCTCAGCCGCCCGCCGCTTCTCTCCGCCAGAAAACACGGCGCCCTCGACGGACTTTTCACCGCCGCAATTATCAGCCTCCCCTCTTCCCGGTGGGGTGTCACCCTAAACGACTCTGTTTCTCTAATGGTAGTCAACGGCGGCGGAAGCCGATGAGAACCTGAATGCAAATTCGAATTGAAATGGGGTTTCTTTTCCCATTTCCGGTGAAAATCCTCTCCGTCAATCTCCGGCGAGAAAATAGTGTTCTCAATTATATCGCTGCCGGTTTCATTGCCCAAATTTTCAGTACAGAGGTTCAGGCTCTTCTCGCTCAAGCCGGTCGGGTTGAAGCGTTTGGTCAGGGGATGAACATAGACCGATTCTTGTTTACTCGCCGGTGGGGCGAGCGATTGGAGTAGAGACCATCCGCCATCGCCGGCGCCGGAATTGGGAATTCCGGTGGGCGGAGAAGGATTTAGAATGTGGGTTTGATCGGAATCGATTAAGGAAATAGAAGGGTGTTTTAAAGGGAGCTCAAAAGGGGGGAAAATGAAGGTTCTTTGGTCGGAAAGATGAGGGTCGAGGCATGACTGTAAGCCTCTACAGACCATAGTCGCCATTAAAATGAAGCTCTGTTTGAAACAGGGGAGGAGAGAGAAAGAGGGGAATGGAGAGAGAAGGGTGTGGAGGAAGAGTGAAGGGGAAGGGGGGAATTTGTAGGGCTTCAAAAAGTGAGAGAGGAGGAAGAGAAGACAAGGGGGGGTGGGTTTTTTGGTGCTTCTTTTTGCCACCACTTGAATTTTGTGACATTTTTGTTTTTGGAAAATTAAAATAAATAATAATAATCATAATAATGGGTTTTGCTTATTTTTTACACTATAAAACAAAAATAGAGGGTTTATCCCAATGGAAAAATATCCAACCTACAATATTTTTCTTCGTGGTCGGTATCGTTTAGTAGATAAGTGTGACATCCGAGAGCAAGAAACAAGGTCAGAGAATGAGACGAGAGCTGTGATTGGTCAGTATAATTTAGTACATAAGTGTGACACTCGAGGGAAAGGAATAAGGTCGGAGAATAAGATGAGGAGCTATAATTGGTCAGTATAGTTTAGTAGATAAGTGTGATGCTTGAGGGCGAGGAACAAGGTCGTGTAACAACTGAAACCCTTTGCTAGTAGATATTGTCTTGTTTGGGCTTGAACTTTCTCCCCAAGGTTTTAAAATGTGTATGTTAGGGAGAGGTTTTCACACTCTTCTAAAACATGTTTTGTTCCTTTCTCCAATCGACGAGGAAATGAATATCTCTAATTAAGTTTAAGAGCTTAATTATAAATATTTTGATGAATCAATAGGTGAGTATTAGTATCCGTTTTTTCTATCAGGTCATGCTTCACTGTTACTTTCTCTCGTGATTTTACTAGCTTAATTAGGAAACAAGTCATTCAACATTTGTCATTCATACCGAAATATTTCGTAAGGAAAACTGTTATTTCTTTATTAGTTTGTTACATTTTTTTTTTTTTGTCTGAGTTTGCTCATGTGTGAACACAAGATCATGCTTCACTGTTATTTTGTCGATTCTCTCCCGATTTTACTAGCTTTGTTAGGAAACAAGTTTCTCGACTCGCTTGTCATCCATGGAGAAATCGTGAGGAAAACGGGTTTTTTGTTTGAGTTTGTTCTTGTGTGAAGATAAAATCATGCTTCGGTGTTACTTCGTCAGTTATCTCCCGATTTTGCTAGCTTTGTTAGGAAAGAAGGTATTCCACCCATTTGTCATTCATGGAGAAATCGTGATTTATTTATTTATTTATTTATTGCATTTTTTGTCGAGTATGCTCATGTGTGAAGGTGAGATCATCGTTCTTCACCAATTCTCTCCCGATTTTGCTAACTTAGTTAGGAAATAAGTTATTTCATTACTTCTCCCGTGTAGAACATTGTTTGTAGTCCAAATATAATGAATTGTAATATTTTGAACGATAATGATAATATTGAATTCTAACTCGGTCTTAAAATTACATAATTTTACAATTTCACCTTCATTTTTATTTTTTTAAATGTTAAATTACAATTTTTGTGATGTCCCACGTTGGTTGTGGAGAAGAACAAAACACCATTTATAAGAGTGTGGAAACCTTTCCAGATGTATTTTAAAGCCTTGACGGGAAGCCCGAAAGGAAAGGTCCAAAAAGAGGACAATATTTGCAGTAGATCTGGGTAGTTACAATTTTAGTCCGGAGAAAATTAAAATTTTAAAAACAAAATTACGAAAATAATTAAAATAATAATGAAGGATTATGCGTCATGTTCCTCTATCAAATTTAATAAAAGGTTTATAAAGTTTAAACTTTGAAATAATTTTTTTATTTTTTTTATTGACCATTCAAATTTATTTATAGAAATCTCGACTTTACACGAGAAAGACTAGAGATTCCAATTCATAGTTAAACAAAAGACTACTCCAAAAGCCAATATTATATTTTTTTACTTTGTTTCCCTCGGGATCTCGCAATCTGTCCCTTTAGGATCAGCGTTTTTACTGACACACCGCTCGGTCTCTGATTTTGATACCATTTGTAGTACAGAGAGTCTAACGCCCTCGCTGGCACATCGTTCGATGCTTGACTCTGATTCCATTTGTAATAAAGAGGTTCCAATGTCCTCGCTAGCACGTCACCTCACTATTTGCAATAGAGAGAGACAAGAGTCCTTATTGACACACTGTTAATACCATTAATACCATTTGTAACATTTGTAACATAGGGTCTTGCGGACCTAAAATAATTAAAATTCATTATTGGTCATTTAAGATGGGCCGAATTTAAAAGGCCCATAAGTTAGCGGCCCACTTTAACAATATGCAAGCGCTGGCCTGACTTAGCGGCCCACTTTAACATCCGCAAATCACGAATGGGCGTATTATGATTTGTGGGGCCCACCTGTCACGGTGGAATTAGATTTCATAAAAACGACCTTTCATCAACCTATTTTATTATTTAGTTTGATTTCCTTCATTAAATTATAAAATCAAAAATAATTATTTATTCTTGACAAAGTGAGTAGGATTCTTCAAATTTTTGTGTTAAATACGATAGTTTATATATATATATATATATATATATATATAAGGCTGAGAAAGATGGATTGTGAGATCACATGTTAATCGAATAAGTGAACGAAGTATAATATAAGGATATGAAAACCTCTTATTAGTATATGCATTTTAAAATTGTGAGATTGACGACGACATGTAACGGACAAAAACAAATAATATTTTATTAGGGTGAGCTTAGGTTGTTATAAATAGTTTCAGAGTCAGACAATGAACAGTGTGCCAAAAGAACGTGATGGGTGAAAGTGGATTAATTATTTAAATTTTTTTAAAAAAATTATATATATATTTTTAATTTCTTAACGAAAGGTTATTAAAATTTATTGAATTATTTATTTATTTTTAAATTTAGGTGTTTTATTTAGTTTTACGTGTAAAAGTATTGGTATATGCCAAACTTGGGTGGAGTTCGGTTGGAGCTTGGGCGGTCTTGGGGCACGGATCCATTTAGGGCGATGGGAGTGCGACCATTTCAAAGCGACCTTCTCGCCATAACCACAGGCCCAGGCAAATCTGTTTCCTCACAGGGGAGAGAGAGCGATGACGATGGAGATACCAGGGCGCATTGTCGCTGTTCTTCTCCTTATGCTGCTTCTCCTCCTCCTCCTCCTCCTATTCATCCTCCTCGTTGCCTGCAAACCATGGCGCTTCTTTTCCTATTCCCTTTCTCGCACCATCAAGGTTTTCTTTTTCTTTTCATCTTTTCGTTTTTCTATGTTTCTGCTGTTCCTTTTCCCCTCGCATTATTCGTTTTCTGGTGCCGATTGATTGCGGATACATTGTACAATCATATAAATTCGCGATCAAGCTGGTTGGGGGTTGGTTGGATGCTTCTCGTTCATCTGTTTTTGGCTCGATCAGTTCACTTCTTATGATGGGGGTGAATTTTAAATTGATGGGTGTTGGTAGTTTTGCTCGAAGTTGGCGTCGGTTGTCTGTTTGAGCGGTGATCTTTATATGGAAATGTTGGAGCGAACAACTGGAATCCATTATGTGAAACAATTTATGATTCTTATGTTGTAGCTAATGGCTTTATCTTTACAGCTTCCCTTAACGAGCTTCTTTCTTCGCTTCCTAATAGCTGGATTAAGCTCTTTCGAGATTCGGCTCTGTAAAATATGACTTTTTAACTTTAGTTATCATTCACCAGCCTGTCTGCATGATATAATGATTACCGATAACATTTTTTGATTGACTTGATTTCTCCTTTGTTTGACATTAATCCAGTGTGATTTAGATTCCACTTCACTTTTTTTTTTTATTTATTCAGAAATTGATGAAATATGTTAGTTTCTATTATATTGATTAAAATCCTTTGTTATGTGATTATTTTATTCTATTTTGTCATGTAGAATGCCCTGTGATCTCTTTATCTCCTTAAAGGAAACATTGATAAAAGGAATGTCCTGTGATCATGGTTGGTAGAATCATATATTTGTAGTTTTATGATATATGACGCCACCGTCTTCTTAAGTATCTTTACATATCGCTACCTCCCATGTTCTCTTTCAGGTTCATGACCTTGAGAGACCCCTTGTCTCTGATGCTGCGGTTGTCACTCAAAACCAAATCAATGAACTTCCGAGAGATTATGATTTGGAGGGTGCACTCCAAACTGATGGCCATTTTCGGTCCCCAAGTTTACACGGATTGATCCATAAGCAAAGACTACCTGCTGCATCTCCCCATTTATGTCAGGGTATTTGCTTCTGTTTTGTCAATGTTTCTTAGGCACCTTTCTCATTGTATAAGGTTAATTAATTCTTCATTTTTCATGGGTTATTTATTCATTTCTCTCAGGTGATAGATTGGTTCCAGATGTAGTTGCTGATCCTTTAGACGATATTTCTGTTGGTCAAACACTTAAACGTTCATATTTCACAAGCCAGATTCCAGAAGTTCGAAAGCATGCGAAACCAAGCGTAGGAAGTGATCAACCCCACGAGTCTGCAAGTCAAGTTATCTCACATGGAAGTAATTTATCATCTCATTCATTTATTCTGTGAGGCTATTATCAAATGTAATATATGCGAGTACGTAAAACATACTTTCATATCTTTCTGTTAGAAGTGCAGGAAGTTACCTCACTTTGGAGGTTACCTCCGGTCCTTCTCGTGGAGTGCGTTATTCCATACATTCTGCGGACACATCTAGGCTCCAGTTGACCCTTGGAAGAGCACCTCCTAGTGATTTACAGCTAAAGGATTCAGAAGTTTCAGGGAAGCATGCCTCAATAAAATGGAATCTAAATGTAATTATTCATATAGGGGTTCATCACCTAATTACAATCTACATTTAAGTTTGTTCTACCAACGTGTGTTCTGCTTATTACTAAAACTATTAATTTGTCTGCAGAATATGAAATGGGAGCTTGTGGACCTGGGTAGCTTAAATGGGACCTTATTAAATTCTCAACCAATCAGCAATCCCGATTCTGGAAGTAGACAGTTGAGTGACCCAGTTGAGCTTGCTAGTGGAGATGTTATAACTCTTGGTACAAGCTCCACTGTGTATGTAAGTTGACTTGCCCCTGTTTTTGTTACTTAATGTGTTAATTTTCTTTTATAGTAGGAACTATCATGGTTTAACTT